TCCCCCACCCACATACGGGGGATGACATATCAACACTCTTGATATCTTCTTTCCACGATTTTGAATTTAGTGATAATATAATTTCTATTACGCATGATAATGGCTCTAACGTGGTAAAAGCCACAAAATTAATAAAAAAACATTACTATTTAAAATATAATACTGTGATATACAGTCATCGTTGTATGGCCCATATCATAAACCTAATCGTTAATGAGGGCTTCATATTTTTGGACGATAAATTGAAAAATATAATGGCTTTCGTTTCCAGATTACATGTGTCGCCTAAGTTATTGAAAACATATCAATCCTTTAATGGGGCTACAAAAATACCTCTTCCAGTGAAAACAAGATGGAATAGCGTGTATCTTATGATAGCAGCCATTAATAAAGTATAAAATAAAAATATTTTTGTATATTTATAATATTATTTCTTTTTATATCTATTTATAGAATATCAAGGCAATACAACATCTCAGTGAGCTTGGATTAATTGAAACCGATTTGGCTCCTGAGAATATAGAATTCTTCTCAAATTTAGAAGAATTTCTAAAGCCTTTTTATCAAATAACGGTTGAAATAAGCTCGCAGCTTCCAACAATAGGGATGGCGATATTGTTTTTCAACGATATTCTGGAGAATTTAAAAAATCAAGAAATAGGTAATTCTGATGCTTCAATACGAGAAGCAGCAACATCTATGATAAAAAAATACGACGAATATAGCCAGCATATATTAACACCAAACAACTATGCTGCATCAATACTGGACCCTAGGATTAAAAATACATTAATCACTAATTTAAAGGAAGATGCAGCAATTAAAAATATGGCTATATTCAAAGGTATTTATTCAAAATATACGACGGAGCCATTTGATGAGTACTCATTCAATAATAATAACAATCCTTCCAACCTTAAAACTATTTCATTATTGCAGGGATTGAAAAGAAGGTATATTTGTAATAATACATTTTGATAGAATTAATTTAAATGATATATTTTATGATTTTTATTTATTTTAAATTTATCTCTTTAGAAAAGTATCATCAAATGGCGATAGTGACAATCAAATAAACACCTATCTTCTTGAGCCAGTAGCGCCCGAGACAACTAACGTGCTAGATTGGTGGAGAGGGAATGAAAATCGATTTCCTCATTTAGCTAAGATGGCGCGAGACTTTCTATGCCAACAAACAACTTCCGTGGCATCGGAAAGAACTTTTTATCTTGCTGGAAATACTATTACTAAATTGAGGAACAGGATGGCTCCCTCCACCCTAAAACAATGCATATCGCTATCATCTTGGGATATAAATATAATGGGCCATCATGACGATATATGGCAATAATTTGTTAGGCATAGTAATAATTTATTTTTTAATAAATAATTATATTTTTCTAAATATATTTAATAATAATTTTAAATATTTTTTAGGCTGGATTGTTGTATGTATGATCAATTCAAGTCTATAATATCCACAAGCAAGATGAGATGCATTCGATTCATGTTTATGATATTGCAAAAAATGGAAAAATTATATAAATATAATATTGTATTTTATATTCAATATTGTATTTTATATTCTATTGTATATATTTTTATTTAAATCAAATTTTAAAAATAAATTTATTTCTACTAGTACTTCACCCCATTTAGTATATATATATATAAATATATGCATACGTTTCTTTCACATGGACAAAGCCGCGAAATCAAAATAAAATATTTTTTTTAAACCAAGCTTAATAAGCTGTCATTAAAATTAATAAAAAAGAAAAACTATTATATCAATGGAGGGGTAATGGTATATTTCTAAGAACAATTTTTTTCTACGCTCGGCCTTTCAACTCTCTCAAAATAATAAATTTAGATAAAGCATGATGATTGTTGATAGTAATTATGGCAAAGTTTAAAAATAATGTGTTCAAGAGATAATTGACGATATTTATAACTAAGAAATGAAAAATAAATAAAATAAAACATTTGCAATTTATAAAAAAAATTAAATCAATTTATATAGTTTATTTAATTAAAGTTAAATAACTTTTTAAATAAATGTGTAATTCATTATAATTAATTTTACAAACAAAAAAGAAAAATGAGAATAAAATAAAGCTTTAAATTATTAATTTAGAAGGTATAATAATATTAATTTAATTTAAGGATATGAGATTTATTTTATCTTACTTTACATATATCTGAACCCCGTGTCTAGATTCCGGAATAAAAAATTTAACATATAAAAATAATATGAACCTCGGGTCTGGACCCCGGGTCGGCCTGAGCACAAAATTTGGTCGTAAATTTTACGACCAAGCAAATTAACAACGTGAGCACAAAATTTGGTCGTAAATTTCACGACCAAGCAAATTAACAACACTATGATATAGATCGAATTTCTTTTTCGATATATCATATCGTATGTGAGTTAAAGAGGCTGTGTGTGAAATATATTAAATCAAAAAACTAGTAATTACCTCAATTATATGGATCTTGTTTTGTTATTTGGTTTGAAGAACCATTTGAAAAATAAATATTTAAATTAAATTACAGGAAGTTTTTAAAAAATAACAAAAATTTTCTCAACAATTTCTTTTAAGTTTTTAATAGTCATTTATTTTTATAAATAAAATCGAAATCCATATTTTTTTAATATTAATAATTAATTAATCATTCTGCCATATTGTTATTTTTTTGCACATTCTGTTTATAAAAGTGTGCGATAATCTCTTCAGAATCTGTTTTTAGTGAATTTGGTGATATTAACTTGACAGTTAACATCGCCGTAAACGTAAACTGATTTCTGATAAATAAGTAAATTTTGGTATTTCTAATAAGAAATCTTCGATTTATTAATGTTAAATATTGTTTAAAATATTTATTCAAATTTCATAATATATTTGTTTATTATTTATTATATATAGATTAATGTTACTTATTTATATAAAAGTTATTTAACAATAAAAATATTTTATATACTTTTAGAATTGCAATAGAATTGAATATAAACTATAACTGATCATTATAATATATTTAAATAAATGACTAAAAATTAGATATGATATCGGATCGGTAATCGGTCGATATCAATTTAATATCGAGAATATCGGATCAGATAGGCCTCCAAAAAGTGATATCGGCATACACCTACTTAAAACCCAAATTTATTAGTTATACCTTTAAAACCCGTGGTGATCCTGGATAGTTGACATCCCTTTAAAAATTATGACAAATATAATATTGGGAATATAACTTTAATATAATAAAGAAAAACTTTTTATTGACCATTATTTTATCACAAATTATAAATTTACATTTCTTTTTATTATTTATACATGCATGAATAACGTTGAATTTTTATATTGGTCCTCCCCTTCACATTTAATTACAATATCAATATGTGTTAATATAAAATTTTACTTTTTTATTTTTTTTCCGTCATGCATGGGCTACTCTTTTTGAATATTTATTACATATATTTTTATTTTACCATAAAAAATTTTTATCAAAAGAAAGAAAATGGTAAGAAAATGAGAATAAAAAAAAGCTTTATTAATTTAGAATGAATAAGATTTAATTTAAGATTAGAAAATGAAATTTTTTTTTTTACTTTTCATTTATCCGAGCCCCAGGTGTAGGTCTGAACCCCGGGTCTGAACCCCGGGTCGGCCTTAGCACAAAATTTGGTCGTAAATTTTACGACCAAGCAAATTAACAACACTACCGGAAACGTAAAAAAATACATCTAAGCGGTTAAATTCTGAATTTAATGATATAATTATATTCAAAATTACGTTTAAGATGTTAGCCTTTCCCCTCTTAAATGCTTTCTCAAATTAAAAATACCTTAAAAAATTTATATTTCTCATTTACTTCTTTATCAAGTAATTACAATATATTTATACTTACTTAATATATAAAATCATAACCAAATATTAATTTAATTAAAAATATTAATTTAAAAATTAATATAATAAAATTAATTTTTAAAAACCGCAAATTATTTCAAAGAATTAATAAAAAAATTGAAAAGATCTTAAAATTTTCTAATTTTTAATATATTATAATGTAACTAGTTGATAACCCGTCAAAAATGATGGGGATGAAAATTTTATTCGTTCTTTTACGATAATTCTTTTTACCCCTCCCCCTCCTCCTTCAGGCCAATTCCAACCCATTAAGACTAAGAGTGATGAATTGTCTTTTTTATTCAATGATTGATGAATAATATATTTTACATTTATTTGATGATGGAAAAATCAGATATTTTCCTATTTTATGACATGTGATTTCGAAATTTATATTTTAAATTACAAAAATGAATAAAAATGAAAAAATATCTCATATTAGCATGACACTGATCACCCGTCAAGAATGACGGGGAATTATAATTTGAGATGTGATTTAGAAATTTATATTTAAAATTACAAAAATAAAACAATATCTCTTATTAGCACCCTAAATACTAACATTATTTACCAGACACTGATAACCCGTCAAGAATGACGGGGAATTATAATTTGAGATGTGATTTATAAATTTATATTTAAAATTACAAAAATGAAACAATATCTCTTATTAGCACCCTAAATACTAACATTATTTACCAGAGCTCCTGTTAGTCATAATTGCTGTTCACTCCCCACCGCATGAAGGTAGGAGATGGATTTTAGGGGAGCAAAGAAATGAAAAAAAGAAGGAAGAAATAGAAAAAAAGAGACAAAGATATAAATTATAAGAAAATATAATAATTATTTATACTTCAAGAGTTGATGATTATCGGGTTACAACACATATGCATTTGTAACCATATAAAAAATATAATATAATAAATTTTATAATATAGAAAATTTTACCTAAAAAAGGATATTTAAAATATTTTCAAAATTGAGAGGGATGTAAGAATTTTTGTTAATGTTTTGCCATTGCTCGTAATTTGCCGTAAATATCCTGAAATAAAACATGTAAATTGAAATTATAAAATAGAATTTACTGTTGTTGGCGAGGAAGATGGTTTAGCGATGGTGAAGAAGTTCTCTTTTCTTTGCTCAATGTGGTTTCGTTTTTGAAGATGATGTTGTAATTTCCTTGCTCGTAGTTTGCCGTAAATATCCTGAAATAAAACGTGTAAATTGAAATTATAAAATAGAATTTACTGTTGTTGGTGAGGAAGATGGTTTAGCGATGGTGAAGAAGTTCTCTTTTCTTTGCTCAATGTGGTTTCGTTTTTGAAGATGATGTTGTAATTTCCTTGCTCGTAGTTTGCCGTAAATAACCTGAAAAAAAACGTGTAAATTGAAATTATAAAATAGAATTTACTGTTGTTGGTGAGGAAGATGGTTTAGCGATGGTGAAGAAGTTCTCTTTTCTTTGCTCAATGTGGTTTCGTTTTTGAAGATGATGTTGTAATTTCCTTGCTCGTAGTTTGCCGTAAATAACCTGAAATAAAACGTGTAAATTGAAATTATAAAATAGAATTTACTGTTGTTGGTGAGGAAGATGGTTTAGCGATGGTGAAGAAGTTCTCTTTTCTTTGCTCAATGTGGTTTCGTTTTTGAAGATGATGTTGTAATTTCCTTGCTCGTAGTTTGCCGTAAATATCCTGAAATAAAACGTGTAAATTGAAATTATAAAGTAGAATTTACTGTTGTTGGCGAAGAAGATGGTTTAGCGATGGTGAAGAAGTTCTCTTTTCTTTGCTCAATGTGGTTTCGTTTCTGATGATGATGTTGTAATTTCCTTGCTCGTAGTTTGCCGTAAATAACCTGAAAAAAACGTGTAAATTGAAATTATAAAATAGAATTTACTGTTGTTGGTGAGGAAAATGGTTTAGCGATGGTGAAGAAGTTCTCTTTTCTTTGCTCAAGGTGGTTTCGTTTTTGAAGATGATGTAAAGTTGGTGATTTGATGGTGAATAACAAAGTTGGTAACTTTTTTGAATTTCTTACAAATTATGAATTTAAGATTTCATTATATACGATATTTTGAGTGAATGTTTTATCATTTTTTAAAATTTTTCCTTGTAATTCTGATGGCAAAATCATAATTTTCATATTATTTTGAGATTTACATCTAGTAAGAGCCACATATAGTTGTCCATGGGCAAAAACGGGCTCAGGGAGGAATAAGCCTACATGATCAAAAGTTTGTCCTTGACTTTTATTTATTGTAATCACAAAAGCGGGAATTATAGGAAACTGTCGTCTTTTTAAAGTAAATGGTAACTGAGTCACTTGGAGCTAGATCTATTCGTGGGAGAAAAGCTCGATAACCCTTATCTGTGCGTCAATAAAATTAATATGTAAATGTCGTATGATTAAACGGGTACCATTACAAAGTCCTTTCTTTGGGCTCAAGTTGCGTAATAGCATAACAATTGTACCAACCTTAAGTGTTAGCTTGTGAGGTGGCATACCGGATGGAGTTTGTGAATGCAAAAATTCTATTGGAAAATTCATTATATCATCCTTATTATCGCTTTCAATGGAATCTGCACTATAATAATGTTTCATAGGGCCTGAAATTATATTAATGATATCGTTGTTGAGGGTAAATGCAATTTTATTTTTGGTGGTTAATATTATTTTAGTAGAAAGACTATCTATATCAACAATTTCTATAGAATTACCATATACACATTTAATTAATTAATCATTTTCAAGCAAATAAGGTGGGATTTCAACACTATTTGTAGGAAGATCAAAATTGCTGCTTGATAGCCCATCTCCAATTTTAAGTAACCAAGCATTGTAATCAACTTGCTCTGATGGAATACGCATATTATCAATCAAATATATTATTTTAAAATGACTCTATAAATCTGAACTTTTTATACAGGACTCTGTAATATCGACTTTGGAGCCTTTAGGCACTACTGATAAAGTCTGTCTAAAATCACCACCTAATAAAATAACTTTTCCGCCAAATGGGTGGGAATTTTTCATAATGTCTTTAAGTAATCGGTCAATGCATCGCAAAGCGTGTTTAGTCATCATTGTGGCCTCATCAATAATAATCAATTTGCTATTTTTAATATCTAGAGCTAGCGAACTATGTAAATTCATATGGGATGTAGAAGTTTCAAAGATAGGCACAGGTAATTTAAATCCGCTATGGATGGTTCTTCCCCCTTTAAAAGAATAGAGGATATGCCGGTGGTTGCAAAAGGCAATACAATTTGATTTTTTGCTCTTATATAACACATTAAGGTATTGTAAAGATACGTTTTACCTGAACCTCCAGGGCAATCCACGAAGAAATATCTTTCTGGAATATTTTCTAATTCAATCGCTTGTATTTAAATCAAAGCATATTTTTGTAATCGGTTTAATTTAGATATACGCTCGATTGAATCGGCAGCTTCAACATGGGCATCATAATGTTTTGGGGGGATTTTTGTAGGTGAAGGAAGATCAAAACTTTGACAGCATAAACCTTGATCAATAAAAACGTTTTCGATGTCCATTAAAGCCATGTTTATTGCAATTACTTCTGAATATTGACGCAAATAATCTTCAATCATCATAAATCTGAACCTATTCCATAGATATGCAGGATTTTCAGGCTGACAAAAAATGCAGATAAAGGCAAAATTATTCCGAAGTTGTGACGGCATTTGATATAATCCCTCTTCTAAGCATGAATCCCACTCTTTATCATCTGATAACAAATTTCTTTTAATAGCTGCCTCTTTAAAAGTACTCATAAAAATTCCATTGATAGTTTTTAAATAATCAAAACTTGTAGCCCCGCAAACATGAAATAATAATAATCAAAGGAAGAATCGTTCACCAGAATTAGGATGAATGGAATACATTCTCGAAATTACATTTAATCGTTTTTTTCTTAGTTTCCAATGGTAATTTGTAAACACATAATGATAAGGTATTTCCCCATAAAGATATTGTCTAGCATTTAGATCTGTCTTATTTAAATCAAACCATGCCGTTAAAGTAGTATGTTTATTTTCTGATCTCAATAAAGCATCTCTTTCATGTCCAGCAGTGAAATATACTGGCTGTTGTAAAGGTAAATGAATTCCTAAGCGAATAACAGCGTGCGAGCGGTCATGCATATTATTTTCTAATAATCTCCACATTGATTCACATGCACTCAGATATCGCGCATTTAAATGTGATTTAATTTCGTCAGGAATTATTTGAAGTAACATTAATGTCAACATTAGTACAGTCATAGGCCTTATAAATATACTTAAAGATATATTTTACCGATTTAATAGATGTACAAATTTCCACGTTAATATGAGTATTGAATTTTAACATTAGATATCGATTATATGGAATAACATAACGATTATCCGTAGGTTTACCGGAAAGAATTGTAATACCATTATCTCGCCTTTTATAATATGGATACCCATCAATATTTGGTCTTGTTTCCATTTGAAAATCCTTAGGAAACTTTTTGGTACATATGTCATTTTCTATGCAAGGCGATTTGGAGTTAAATATCCCGCAAGGACCATGTATCATAAAATGGGTAACAATCTGAAAAAGTTTAGGTTCGAGAATTTTATCTGGAATTTCAGCACAAACAAATTTATCTATAGCTTGAGATGTTTCAATTTTGCTATCATCGTTTAAAATAATAAGTATATGGGCATGAGGCAAACCTCTTTTTTTGGAACTCGATTGTATATTTATTTATATCGAACAATAATTCATTTAATTTCAATTTAAAAACACGGGCTATTAAATCTGGTCTATCTGTAGGACTTTGCCCGGGAAATAGATTTTCCTTAATTTCACGCCAATTAGGATTGCATGTAAAAGTAATAAACAAATCAGGTTTGCCAAATTTTAGCACAATGGCCATTGCATCGTGATAGCGTTCTCGCATATTTCTTTGAGAACCTTGAAAAGATGATGGTAATATTACTGCTTTACCGGGAATTATATTGTTTGACCTTGTTTCCAAGTAGTCCATTATTTTTTAGATGAAGGGATATTCTAAAATTCATTATTTATATGAAGTATATGGTTAGTAATTTTCATTTATGTGCACAATAAAAAATCTTTAAAAATATTTCTTATTCATTTGTATTTGTAATTTATAATCTGAAAAATATATTCTTGCTAGATGAGAGTATAACTTATCTTCAAGTAACATTTGAAACAGATATTAAAAATGGACAAAAAAATTAAATAAATTCAATGATAATTTATTGAATGTATAGACATAGAATTTTATATTTTGCTCTCTAATCATAACCTTTATAAAGAATTGGAATGTTTCAAATGGATGAAAATTAAAATGTTCCCAAGTCAGATTTAGAAAAATCTATATCGATTTTTATAAAAAAATAAAAATGTTTCTTTAAATGACTCAAAGTTGTTGAGCCAATTTTGCAACTTTAATTGTTTATTACAAATAAAATCAGACATGTTGAGTATGCAAAACTTGCTCTTCATCAAAAATGGGTCTTTCTTTTATATCCCAATCTTTCACCAATGTAGTGAACTGCTATTATAACATGCTTTTTTTCTATATCAGCTCATAATGCCAACGTTGAAAAAATCTTTTCTTTAATCAATAATAAAATGAGAGGAATAGATTATCCATATTTATTCTTCCATGATTTCTATAAATTTTTAGAGAAAAAGTCAAATATATTACGGAAAATATGGAATAAAAAAAATATGATTTGTAAGTTATGATATTTGTAACAAATTTTTTACCCAGATACAATGGTTTTTGTTCTCACTTCTTATAAAATCTGCACTCATCAAGAATCATTTATAAGCTTTTAAAACCTTCCTAAATTAAAAAAGACCTGCCATCATAGATCAAAATCAATTATGGGGCCAAACCTTATTATCTCATAATACACTGTGGTAGTATCTACCCCATTGCAATGGACTATAGAAAAAATAATTGCCAAGGGTCAGAATCCAGGGTCTTAACTTATTAAGTATAAGTATCAATTAGGATTTGGTGTTAAGGGAGAAGGCAAAATAGCTTCTCATGCCATTTTTTTATATCGCCGAATTGACGTGGAACCATAAAAATTACTTTTTAAATATGTTCAGAAATTTAAAGAAAAACAAAAATATATAATTGTATTATCACCAGAGGTCTGCAAATGACAACATTTTTAGGCCCAATAAGAATTTAATTAATGCCCATCCCAAGTTTTGCTTAGCCTAATAATTTTTTACTAAAGTTGTCTGACCTTATTTTATATATATATTTGCTCTGATATTTCATAGAAGTGATAATTCATAAAGTATAGTTTAACCACGCAAATGACAACATTTTTAGGCCCAATAAGAATTTAATTAATGCCCATCACAAGTTTTGCTTAGCCTAATTTCAATTTTTTACTAAAGTTGTCTGACCTTATTTTATATATATATTTGCTCTGATATTTCATAGAAGTGATAATTCATAAAGTATAGTGTTTTTAATTTAACCACTCTCCAATATTATAAATAGTTTGGTGTACCACAACATATATTTTGGTATAGGCCTTGATTTAAAAAAAAAAAAATGCATGATAAAATAATGCATAAAAATTATTTGCTAAAAATTATACTTTTGAAAAATGAAAGATAAATTGGCTAATATTACTAGTATCTCAACATCATCTGATATTGATATGGCATCTCTGAATTTTGATTAATTAGGTTTTAAAAGGTAAAAAGAAATTTTTTTAAATAAATTTAAAATATAAGAACTTTTACCTTGGTATTTGTGATCTTATCAAAAATAAAATAATTGAAATTAAACTTTGAAGCCAACTCTCCTTGATTCAGTCCAGATGTCATAGGCTCTAATGAAAGTTTACACATCAAAAATAAAATAATTGAAGATTTTAATAAATATTGTTTACTTTGGTGTTGAGCAAATATTTATTACTAATATCTAAACATCATCTGATATTGATATGGCATCTGAATTTTGATTAATTAGGTTTTAAAAGGTAAAAAGAATTTTTTTTATATAAATTTAAAAATAATAACTTTTACCTTGGTATTTGTGATCTTATCAAAAATAAAATAATTGAAATTTAACTTTGAAGCCAACTCTCCTTGATTCAGCCCAGATGCCATAGACTCTAATGAAAGTTTACACATCAAAAATAAAATAAATGAAGAATATAGTGTTTACTTTGGTGTTGAGAAAATATTTCAAAAATATTAGCTAGATAAAATTTGTTGAAAAAAGAATATTTTACCTGCAATGGCAAATTCATTCATTCATTACCACGCCAGAAATTGCACCGTGCAATTTCATCACCCACCAGGAGTTGAAGCGTGCATCATGTATTTTCACTAGTATATAGATCCCATACATGATGTTTATTATAGTGGACGGTACCACCATGTAGCCAGTTAGCAAAGTGAAGAAGTAAGAAGTACAATAATGGTGATGTATTAGTTCCGTTACCGGCAGAATAGTGTTAAGGAAAAAAAATGTCATATATTAATGTACCTGCATCCTTAAGTGGTATTTAGTGAGGCAACAAAAAATAATAACCCTTATATCTTGGTAAGTATTGAGATTTTATGTTAAGTTTGCATGAAGAGCCTCTTCCTTGTTTGTTGTTCGGTGTGCCAAATATCGTATGTCCTGTAGATCTTGTATGTGCTGTGCCAATGATATTTGTGGTTCGTCCGAGTTATTGCGTTATTATTATAACCAGTGTGTCTTCTCATTGTCCATTATACAACTAATAGTTTCGTAATTGTTATCGTTATCGTCGCCGATATCGTGTGTCCAGAAAAGAAAGGTCGTGGGTTAATAAAGGAAGTTAAGTTATGTTGTTGTTGGTTAAGGTTATTATCATTTTTAAACATACTTTATTCTATTTATTGCAAGAAAGTTAAGGAGAAGAACGGTTTCAATATTAATTTAGGCCATATTTTAATATGTATTGTAAATGTTCTTTTAGGTGTTTTTTGTTTTTGCTGAGTGCCATGAAATCTGCGAACGAGAGGTTATTCAGGTCCATATCTTTCAAACATTTCGCCAACCAATAGTATTTAGGAGTTTTCTTCCTACCGTCAGGGCACCATTTCAAGGACGAGAATATCATATTTTCCTGCGAGTGTCTTAAGCTATGGCCTAATAATTCTAGCCTCCTCAAGGGTATGTGACGATTGATTGGTAGGATGTCGCATCTATTCCAGAGCGTTGTATTTGATGTGTTGTATGGGTAATACGTTTTGGTGATTCTTCTAAGGCATTTGTTTATAAATGTCTGAATTGCGTTTATGTTACTTTTTGAGTCCTGCCAAGTCTCTAGGCCGTAGGTAAAAATGGGTACAATTAGGGACTTGAAAAGTCTTATTTTTAAATTAGTTGATATTTGGTTGGATGACCATAATTTCGACAGTTGATGATAGCAGAGTCTAGCATTATTCGTTCTCGATTTCGTATCTAAAAAGTGAGGCCTAATGATGTTATCCTGGTTCCTAGGTATTTAAAATCTGACACTAATTCTATCGTATTACCCTCAAAGTTAAAGGGGTTTAAGTTACTCGCATCGGTATTTGAGGTGATCAGCTTGGTTTTTGTGTAGTTAACTCTTAAACCATATCCATCACAGTTATTGACAAATAATGATAAAATATTTCTTAATTTGTATTCTGAGTTGGCTAGAATACATACGTCGTCGGCATAACATAGAAAGTTTAGAGAGTTATGCATATCATTGAGGTGCTATTGATCACTGTAATAAGTGTTGAGTGCATATTCCTGTTTAAGGGATTTATTTAGGATATCATTCATTATTACATTAAAAATAATCGGTGAGAGGATGCATCCTTGTTTGAGGCCCATATTTGCTTTAAAAGGTTGTGATTTCATATTTAGATGTTGAGGAACTACGCTATGATTGTCGTAAATTATCTTAATTAGCGCTATCAGATGTTTATCTATCCCAATGTTTTCCAGCAAGGGGCATATCTTATTCTGAATTATAGAGTCAAAGGCTTACTTAAATCAAATTAGGGCAAAGATGGGGGATTTATGCATTCTGGCCTTTTCCAGAATGACCTTAAGTGCCATAGTCAACTCCGTTGTATTTCTGCCCTTCCTGTACGATGTGATAGCGTTTGAAAGGAACCTGTTAATGATTGGTTTAATCCTAACCGATATGATGTATGTGAACATTTTTAGTGTGACTGGAATCAGTGCAATACCTCTGTAATCCTTAAGGCAGTTTGGAGACTTATTTTTAGGGAAGTTTAGTATAATTGATGTCATCCATTCGTCAGGAAACTTACCCGTATTCCAAATCTCCCTAAAGAGGGGAAGTAGTAAGCTGGCACTTAGGTTTACCTCTATCTTCCAGAGTTCTGCAAAGATCCCATCAGCTCCAGCAGCTTTATGCATTTTTAGACGTTTGATGGCACCGACTATATCGGACTTGTTAAGATTCTGACTGGGTGTTTGGAAGGGGTAGTCACATCTAGGTCTAGGCCATCTCGTTCTGTAGAGGTTCATGTAGTGGTCTATCCATAAGTCTAATTGTTCCTTAGGGTCAGTTATAATCTTGTTGTTATTTAATTGTAGTCTTGGTAAAGGATTGGTTTTAAAGGTGGTGAGTAGTTTAAGAGATTGGAAGGCCTTATAAATATTATTATTATCAAAATTGAATTGGATAGAATTCGATAAGTTAGCAATAAACAGTCTTTTGTCAGCCCTTATGCGGTGAGTAATGTACCTCCTATGATGTTTTGCGAATTGGTGGTGGGATATATTTGTTGTAAGATTTTTAATTATTTGTATTGTTGGAGGGGTGAGCCACTCTCTGCGCTTGGTGCGTGGTCTTAAGCATGATGTTATACTACCTAATAAATTCAGCTTAATGTCCTTCCAGGTCAGATTTGGGTTTATCATGCTATTTACTGTATTTCTCCATGATGTTAATTTAGAGACGAACTCTTCTTTCACCTCTAAGTCATTTAGTTGTGCCAAGTCTTTTCTAGCTATGTATTTTATAGTGGTGAGACTGTTCTGTCTAGTGTGGTTTGGGAAGATACTGTTGTTAATTTTGAGTTCACAACCCAATGGATAATGGTCGGTGAAAAGTGTAAGGTTTAGTTTACTGATTACTCTGATGTCTCCTCACCCACTTGAAGATCTTAGTGGAAATTACAAATAAATCTATCTGTGAGGTAGTGCCAAAGAAAGGATTCTTGTAAGTCATGATGTGATGAGTTGGATGATTGAAGAAAGTATTTCCAATTTTCATGTTGAAAAGCTCACAGATTTCTATTAACCTTTTACCGTTGGGGTTCGTACTTTGTATTAATGTGGCGTTTCCAAGGCAGGAAGAGTTCTTAGATTTACCTACCGAAGCATTGAAATCGCCTGCTAGAATGATGCCATCCCGATGTGGTAGTTCCTTTAGGACATTCTCCAATTCCATATTGAAAACGCTATCATTGTGAGGCGCGTATATATTAAACAAATGAACTTTTTTGTATCCTAAGTTTAGGGTAAGGCGGCATATTCGGCTGGAGATTGGGTTGAAGCTTACGAGTCTTATTAATTTATTATTATCATAATCGCCACCCCAGCCCATACGTGTTCAGCATTTGAGCTGCAATATAAGGTGTAATCTAAGAGGTTCCTTACCTCAGTTACTTTAAGGTGGGTCTCCTGTAAAAGGAGGATTTCGTAATGTTGGTCTTTCATGTGCCTAAGTATAGTTAGTTTATCATTCAGGGATCTTATATTTAAAGAGATCATTTTAATATTGTGGTCCTTCATTGAAAAATTTTATTAAATTTAATTATGATTACCGTGCCGATTCTATATCTTACAGAGAGTCCGCCTTGTAAGAATAGCAAATACACGAGGATAGATAGATTAAGAATTAAGTAAGAATTGTTTAAAAAATATATATATATATATATGATATCAAAATGCGTATAGTATATGATAATCTGCAATGGCAAATTTGATATGGATATTGTGTTTCGCCATATTATATATCACATGGGAATTACTAATGGCTTAAAATTTCTATGATGATTATCATTGGACAAATATTTTTTAAAAGAACTCTATTGGTTAAACTTGATTAACGTTTTTTGAGGATTATTATAATAGATGTTAGTATAATATTTTTTCTCTAAAAAAAGCAATAAATCAATCAAATATCTCATTAAACATTTTCTTTGTTATTTTTATTTTCAATATTATTTTTTAGCCTTTCGTATTACCAAGCCTTTCGACTTATAGACCTACCCATTAATGAGATATTTTATTGATTTATTGCATTTTTTAGAGAAAAAATATTATAATAACATTACATTATAATATATTAAAAATATGGAAATTTTAAGATCTATATTTTTTTAATAATTCTTAGAAATAATTTGCGGTTTTTAAAAATTAATGTTTTTAAATAAATTAATATTTGGTTATGACTTTATATAAGTAAGTATAAATATATTGTAATTACTTGATAAAGAAGTAAATGATAAATATAAATTTTTTAAGGTATTTTTAATTTGAGAAAGCATTTAAGAGGGGAAAGGCTAACATCTTAAACGTAATTTTGAATATAATTATATCATTGAACTCAGAATTTAATTCTCTATCCAAAACCGCTTAGATGTATTTTTTTATGTTTTCGGTTCAAAAAATAATTTTTTTGTCGCGAATGCATTTTAGAGGGGAAAGGCTAACATCTTAAACGTAATTTTAAATATAATTATATCATTGAACTCAGAATTTAATTCTCTATCCAAAACCTTGAATCGGAAACGTAAAAAATGCATCTAAGCGTTTGGATAGAGAATTAAATTCTGAGTTCAATGATATAATAATATTCAAAATAACGTTTAAGATGTTAACCTTTCCCCTATAAAATGCTTTCGCGACAAAAAAAATATTTTTTGAACCGGAAACGTAACATCTAAGCGGTTTTGGATAGAGAATTAAATTCTGTCAATAATATAATAATATTCAAAATAACGTTTAAGATGTTAGGCTTTCCCCTATAAAATGCTTTCGCAACAAAAAAATTATTTTTTGAACCGGAAACGTAAAAAAATACATCTAAGCGGTTTTGGATAGAGAATTAGATTCTAAGTTCAATGATATAATTATATTCAAAATTACGTTTAAAATGTTAGCCTTTCCCCGTTAAAATTCTTTTGCGACAAAAATATTATTTTTTGAACCGGAAACGTAAAAAAATACATCTAAGCGCTTTTGGATAGAGAATTAAATTCTGAGTTCAATGATATAATTATATTCAAAATTACGTTTAAGATGTTAGCCTTTCCCCGTTAAAATGCTTTCGCGACAAAAATATTATTTTTTTGAACCGGAAACGTAAAAAAATACATCTAAGCGGTTTTGGATAGAGAATTAAATTCTGAATTCAATGATATAATTATATTCAAAATTACATTTAAGATGTTAGCCTTTTCCCTTTGTTAATTTTCGCTCAAAAAAAATATTTTTCAAAAAAAATTTCCCATTTAATTTATAATTGTAATTACTTCTTAATCTAATACTCACAATATCTTTATACTTACTATGAATTTTGTTTTGAAAAAAGAAACTTAAAAATTCAAAAATTCCATTTTTATAAAAAAATGTCCGGTATGACTAAATACTGAATTGCTAAAATGATTTGAATGAATTGCTAAAAAGCAATTAGTCATAATCAATCATAAATCAATCAAAATTTTATTATGTATATTTTATTTAATGAAAATTTTTAAAACTTTTTTTAAAACTTTTTTTAAAATATACTTAAATTATTTTTTTATTAAATGAAGGATTCTGATTAAATATCATATAATATATAATTTTATTTTGAGTTAATATTATTATAAAAGAAATATTTTCATAGTTTATTAAAACATAAATAAATTTTTTTCAATTTTAAAAATTAACAAATATATATCCGTAAGAGGGCGTTATATGCGTAAATATGTAAGTATCATTTTAGGAAACCGGAATGATGATTGGATAGCGCTTTTTTTATATTTGGGTATATATACATATGAAAAACCTAAAAATTAAAAAAATAATTTAGATTTCTTTGATGTTTAATTTATGAGTAGGTTTAGAATAGTAAAATAATGGAAATTTTCTAAGGTAAATATTGCTGGCGTTATTTATCAAAATCTCTTAATTTTTGTTTTATATGTGTATATATACGTACTAAGCATTATCCTAAAAAAATATTTTGAAAATAATTTGATTTGACCGATTGCCGAGCTTAAAACCGACCACTTACTAAATATTCGATTGATCAAATTTACTAGTAATATAATTTGAAAAATGTTGATTTTCGTTTTATATATCTATAAATAAGTATAAAAGATAATCCCAAAAAATATTTTTAAAATATCGCTATTTGGCGAATAACCGACTAGTAACCGACCCAATGACTAAATACTGAATTGCTAGCGTTTTAAATCAAAATATCTTAATTTTTGTTTTATATGTGTATATTTACGTGCTAAGCATTATCCTAAAAAAATTTTTTGAAAATAATTTGATTTGCCCGATTGCCGAGCTTAAAACCGACCACTAACTAAATATTCGATTGACCAAATTTCCTAGTAACATAATTTGAAAAATGTTGATTTTCGTTTTATATATCTATAAATACGTATAAAACATAATCCCAAAAAATATTTTTAAAATATAGCTATTTGGCGGATAACCGACTCGTAACCGACCCAATGACTAAATACTGAATTGCTGACGTTTTAAATCAAAATATCTTAATTTTTGTTTTATATGTGTATATTTACGTACTAAGCATTATCCTAAAAAAAATTTTTGAAAATAATTTGATTTGACCGATTGCCGAGCTTAAAACCGACCACTTACTAAATATTCGATTGACCAAATTTACTAGTAATATAATTTTAAAAATGTTGATTTTCGTTTTATATATCTATAAATACGTATAAAACACATAATCCCAAAAAATATTTTTAAAATATCGCTATTTGGCGGATAACCGACTCGTAGCCCACCCAATGACTATATATTTAATTTTTCCCTATTCTATATCATCAAAAGCATTCAAAAAATAAAAGATAATTTTATTAAATTATTGTTAAACTAAAATACATTTGATTCATTAATTGTAATAAAAACAAAGGCGCATAAATATATATAATTAAATGAGGATCAGATATTTTCTACTATCTTAATCTATATTTGATATCATCATTTCCTCATATACTTCAAAAAAAATTAACAAAATAGAAATTATGAATAAGAAATTAAATATAATATTGTAATGTATACGATATGAATAAAAATAAAAAACAAATTTAGCACCTATGCGCAGTGACCCCTACAACCGGGGGGGGGGGGGGGGTCCGAAGCAACTGCTTCTATAAATTTCTATGGGGGTACTTTCTTTTTTTAAATTTTTTAATTTTTTATTTAAAAAAAAAATTTTAATGGTCGATGTTTAGCAAATTAGTTTGTTATCCGATTTCTTATCATAAAATTATTTTTCCACTTTCAAGATTAGACGCAAAATTAAAATTTTATCAAAGGGAATAGTAAAAATTTAAATATTAAATCTTATATATAATCATTTATAATTTTTAGATCATTGGTAAAATATGCCCAAAAATATTAACCAAAAAAAATATAAATGCTTGATTAAAAATTGTACATATCATAATATAAGAGATGATAAATGGACAGATCATATTAGAAAAAGACATGGTGGGCTTAATTTTCACGATATAAAGAAAAGCTTTGAAATAGTGGCATTTAAGAATATTTCTCAAAATTGGACAAATAGCAAAGTAATTTTTTTTATTAAATATTTAATTGTTTATACTTATTTATAAAGGGTATTAAAACACAATTTAAGGAAAAAGAAGTAAAAATTGGCAAATCAATGCTGTTGGTATAATAAATATTTTTATTAATATGATTATTTTTTTAAAAGTGTACTAATAATGAAAATATGTTAGAAGAAAATATTATATCTGACTCTGATAATTTAAATAAATATAAATTTATAATTATTATCATGTCAAAGATAAATATTATGGACACTACTACAGTTACAGAAAAGGATCAACATCAAGAAGAGATGCCATCTGGATCTGGTGTTGTGGGATTGATAATAATGGAGAATAATGAGTTATCAAGATCAGCAAAAGAAGTTAAACCCCGATTTAATGTGAAATATGTTATGTTTATTTTATCTTCCCTCCCCCTCCCTTTTCTTAGGAATCAAATGATCCCATCAATATTGTTGGAAAAAGAATTGACAAATTTATAATTGATAAATATCTGGAATTGGAGCTCTCCAACCTAAACATTATTTATTCCCCAAAGATATTAATAATAGAAACAGATCCTTTAATGAAAGTTTTTATGAGAAAACTAATATTGACAAGAGCAAAGTTGCTAGAAATTGGATTACATATAGTATTAAAATGAATAAAGTTTTTTGCTTAACATGTCTATTATTTAGAGGTCCACACTCAAATTCAAAATAGACATGTGAAGGTCTTAATATATGGCAAAATATTAATCGTGATATTATTGTGCATGAATCTTCACAGGCACATA